TTTACTACCGAAAAGGAGCTTTTAGCTATCACATGGTCTTGTTCAAAATTAGATACATATTTAAGAGGCGCGAAGAAAATTGTCGTTCGTACTGATCACGAAGCTCTTAAATTCTTGTCTACTTGTAAGTTCACTAACTCGCAATTGATGCGTTGGTGCCTATTCCTACAAGACTACAACTTGACGTGCGAGTATTTGCCGGGAAGTCAGAATAAAGCAGCAGATTTTTTATCCAGATATATACTGAACGATAGCGACGATGAAGAAGGCGTGATTAGTATAGCCAGTCTGATGAAAAAACCATCACAAGCTCTTATAAAAAACTTTATCAATCTTCAATATCTTCAAGAACAGGACGCTTTCATAAATAGGATCAAGAAACGAGGAAGTTTTCACAACCGATTTGTGGTCCAGCAGAATTTAGTGTTCAAAAGGGACAAAAGTAAAACCAAACTTGTGCTCCCAGAACACATGATTAATGATTTAATAACTGAACTTCACGAGATGTACGGGCATGTAGGGTGTCGGAAAATCTTCAAGATGCTAGAAGAAGACTTCTACATCCCAAAAGTACGGAAAAAAGTTAGCAGCATAATTAAACGCTGTGACTTGTGCCAACGTACCAAGTACTACAATCAGAAAATAGATACAGTGATGCAACCAATTCTAGTGAACGAACCTAGAGAACTATTGTCGATTGATTTTTATGGTCCCCTGCCTACTTCAATTGGAGGAGTCAAGTATATTTTGACTACCATTGATGTTTTTAGTAAATACGTCGTAATGTATCCTATGAGACGTGCTACTACCCATACAACCATCAAAAAGATTTTTGAAGACTATGTGCCAAAATATGGGAAACCAAAATCAATCATTAGCGACCATGGTACTCAATTCACATCAAAAAATTAGAAAGAAAAACTGCTATCTACAAACATAAATCTGATTTTCTCCAGTATACGCCATCCGCAAAGTAACTCAGTAGAGCGTATACATAAAGAGTTGGGACGCTTCTTAAGAGCATATGCCCATGAAAATCCAAAAGGCTGGGCCTCGTTAGTCCCAAAAATACAGGATATAATGAATTCTGTTTACCATGATACAACCGAATATACACCTATGGAAATCCACCTAGGAAGGAAACCAGATCGCTTTTGGCATCGCTGGTTTTCCCCAAATAATTCAACGGTATCTAACAGAATCATTAATATCCGCGAAAAAGTTCATGAAAAGCTAAGCAAAAGAGCTCTAGAACACAACATGAATTCCGAACATAAACCATACAAAATAAACGACATTGTGTTACTAAAAAGTCACAATGCTACAGATAAATCCGAAGAACGCTTCAAAAAATTTATGAGGCTGTACGAGGGACCATACATCGTACAATCAATCATAGGTATGGATACATACGTACTCCGTCACAAGAATGGAAAAATTCGGGGCAAATTTCACACCTCGCTATTAAAGCCGTATCACTATTAGTCGCTAGAGGTCGATTAAATATATGCAAATAGATTCTCCGAACTTATGCCTATATACTAGCCTTCGCCGAGAAGATTTCTGAATAATTTTTGGCTATGGCCCTCTGGAATAAAAATCAAAGTACCCAGACCGACCTCTCGGATTTGAGGGACTTTATCCCTCATCCGCAGGGTCGGCCCTTTATACCTTCTTCCAACCTGGTACCTTGGCTGGAGTGCAAGAGAACGCAAACTCCAGCCAGGTTCCCCCAGGTGGATTCCCCTATGGTGAAGCCACCAAAACCAAGGGTGAAGGATGCCCCCATCCCTTTCCTGCCCTCCAGCGTCCCCCGACCTGCTAACACTGAGCCTGATGTGGAAGAGAAGAAACCTTCCAAACAACAGCTCCGTAGGGTGAGGAAACGCATCGCCAAGCTAGGGGCAAGGATAGCGGAAAAGGAGGAAGAAATCAAGCGGCTACGGGAGGAAGCAACCACCAGCGCAAAAAATAAAAATAAATTGTAAATAAAATGAAAAAAAAAAAAAAAAAAAAAAAAAAAAACAACAAATCAGACACCATTAATCACATTAGAATGGCTCGTTCGATTCGCCATTCTAATGGGGGGGCTATGTAACGGTCCTGTCTGATTTGTCTCCTATTTTCCTCTGCAAAACGGCAACCCGTCATACTCGAGACAATTAGAGAAAATCGGTAATTGAGCGTAGGCGCTTTTCACACGTATATGCAAATGTGTTAGGGCAACTCTGCGAAAACATTACCATATAAGGAGCGTGACGTCACGACCGTGGGAAAATTTATTGTTTACAACAGAAAATCGTTAATTATAAGCTTTTTTAAACGAACAAAAGTATTTCTTAGTTAAATTTGAGGTGCTGATCCTGAATTTCATGTTAATTTAACTCTCAAATCGATATTTGTTAGTCAAATCTAATTTACAAGTTAACATTGTTAGTTATTTTGCAATAAACAACGATATTGTTATTTCAAGTACGCGATTACAATCTCGACATATTAAGACAGAAAAGCAAGAATTTGACACTTTAATAACCCATTATTAACTGAGTTATCAATAAATAAACAATTTAAAAATTTTTTAAACAATTAAAATGACACGGTTAGATAGAAAATCGATCATAAGTATCTGTAAAATTGATGATTGTGATTGTTACTAATTTGCTGATTTTTAAACCGCTAAAAAAGAAAATTGCAAATCTGTTTTTTAATTATCATTCAAAATTGGAGAGCAACATTAATCATTTTTTATACAGATAACAATCTTCTAACCACAAGCGATTTTTCCATGTAAAAATTTTCTATAATTTTATTGTAAAAATGGCGTAAATTGATTATTAAATTGTATAGCTTATAACTTTAAGATGCGATTTTTCCTAGAGATGCAATTTATACTAAAAAATTCATCTTTTCCAGATTAATTTTTTAAATCGCATAATTGTAAATTCGTTCGAGCCATTTTGCGATAAAACGTGTATAAAATTTGCGTCAAAAACAAAAATAGCGTTGTAGGGGCTACCAAGCGTAGAAAGGAGCCCAGTTCGCATGTATAAATTCGCTCGTCGCTGCGGCAAAAGGACTCACTTTCCTACCTTGCTTAGCAGCGCGAGCACTGTTATTGAAATAAAGCCTCAGCTATTTCTTGAGACGAATTTCTTTTCAGTGGTTAGCCTGTTAAACTCCTTCCTTAACGATCTCTAAGAGCTCAACTCATGAGACTATTTCTCTCATGAGAAAAAAGCAGCCTTAGAGATCTTCCCTTCCGAAATACACTTGCTGCTAAGAGATCGGATTGAGCAATAATTGCGGCGCTGTCGGGCCTTTCCCCGATAGATGCAATTGCTCTCAATCGCATCTCGAAAACAACTCATCGAGTTGGAAAGCCTCGTGGTTTTCCACTCGAAAGATTTCTTTTTTGATCATTTAGATTGCGCGCGTGTCAAATTCTTGCTTTTTTCGGAAACGTTATTGCGAATTTACTGTAAAGAGTCCGAACTTTTATTAACGCGAGAAATACTCAAACGTTACAACACTATACGTATACAGTGCCGCTCAGCCACTTTTACCCCCCACGGGCAAAATCAGTCTAACTTCAAAGTTTTATATCTCTGGTAGAAATTAACGTACCGAGACGCGCGTGGGTGCGTTTGAAAGGTCTTTCGGAGGGCTTTCAAATGATATTACTCACGGTTGCCATCGATTGTTTTTTTAAATTTTGCAACAATTATGCAAAATTGAAAATTCTGAAATTTTTTTATTATTTTTGACAATTAGTCAATTTTGGAAAAAAAATCGTACGAAAATTTGAAGTACACCATTTTTTAGCTATTACCAAGCCCTATCTGAATCACTCATCAAAAATTTATTTTCGTCAAATATGACGCGCGCACGGGCATTTTCTCCTGGAAGTGACAGTTTTTTTCAACATTTTTTATCTCCGTCAAATTGTAACAATCGAAAAAAATTTATAGGAGAAAAAATGTTTGTTTTTTCACGTAGAATACTGCAATAATTTTTTTTTCGGTTTTTCGAAAAATTTTTTTTTTCGGTTTTTTTCAATTTTTTTTTCTCACAGTCGGTACGCTAAAAAGATGAGAAACCACAAAAAAAAAATTTTTTTCAACCATTCAATAATACTACATAACAAGTATTGTAAATTACATCAAAAAAAAATCTTTTTTTTTTCGACCTTGAAAAATAATTTAAACCGAAAAAAAAAATTTTCGAAAAACCGAAAAAAAAATTATTGCAGTATTCTACGTGAAAAAACAAACATTTTTTCTCCTATAAATTTTTTTCGATTGTTACAATTTGACGGAGATAAAAAATGTTGAAAAAAACTGTCACTTCCAGGAAAAAATGCCCGTGCGCGCGTCATATTTGACGAAAATAAATTTTTGATGAGTGATTCAGATAGGGCTTGGTAATAGCTAAAAAATGGTGTACTTCAAATTTTCGTACGATTTTTTTTCCAAAATTGGCTAATTGTCAAAAATAATAAAAAAATTTCAGAATTTTCAATTTTGCATAATTGTTGCAAAATTTAAAAAAACAATCGATGGCAACCGTGAGTCATATCACTTGAAAGCTCTCCGAAAGACCTTTCAAACGCACCCACGCGCGTCTCGGTACGTTAATTTCTACCAGAGATATAAAACTTTGAAGTTAGACTGATTTTGCCCGTGGGGGGGTAAAAGTGACTGAGCGGCACTGTACATATAGAAAGAAATCCAGTATTAACTTATTTATTGTCATAGGAATACTATCGTGTTTGTGTTTTTCAAACATAAGTATTAAATTTGTTACATACAATAGTATGAGATTGATTTAATTTCGTGTAAACGTTTGCTATTAAAAAAATTTTGTATAAAAAACTTTTATTAACCATTATAAAAAATATACTCGATTCTAACACGTAAAATGTACTCTTATGGAACGTGCTATTTTATACTATAGAAATGGATAATTTTTTGATTGTAAAAATATAATATGTCGAATCTTACTTCAGGAACTTCAACAGTGGTATTAGGCAATTCTGGTATAATAAACTGCGGTTTATGCTGATTCACTGTAATTACCCGGATGTAGATATTACACGTGTCTGAGTGGAGTCCCTTACCGGCCACATCTCTAGCTTCAACTTTAATTTGATAAGATTGAGCTCTATCCAATAAAGAAAGTGCTGGATATAGTATTCCGGTTTCAGGATTTAATGTGAAAGAATCGTTATCGTTTCCTTTAATTATTTTGTACCATACTGCTCCATTTATACCTTCATCTGGGTCAATGGCGCTAACCTAATTTACAAAATGTTTTAGTTAACTAAATAAATGACTTTGAATAAGAAGAGATTATGTACTTAGATAGAATCATGAAATATGTTTACTTGTAAAATTGGCGCTGGCGGATTTACAGATAAATTTTCAGCAACCGATGCACGATAACTGTGCTGTGTAAAGATTGGTCGATTGTCGTTAACATCTATAAGTCTTATGACAACACGAGTTGATGTAGATCTACGTGAACTTAAAGGAGCTTTGTCATTTGCCATGACTGAAACTGTTATTTCTGGTATGAACTCACGATCCAAAACTGTAGCAGCAGCAACGGTGATTTCTCCGGTTTCATGATCTAATTTAAATCAACAAGTATATTTATGATTTTTAAGTGAAAATTCTTAGATAGCTTGTTTATTTCTATGAGTAATAATCATATTTTTACCAATATTAAAGTCTGCTACATGATCTCCTATTAAGCTGTAAGTAACTTCTCCGAAACTACCATCATCTGCATCATATGCTTTGACTACAGTAATTCGAGTGCCCGGGGGAGAGTTTTCTTTAATTGTAGTATTGTAGAAATCTTGTTCAAATTTTGGATCTTCATCATTAATATTAACAATCATTACAGAAATATTCGCTTTCGAAACAAGCTGTGGTACTCCTGTGTCATAAGCGACGACAGTGAACTGTAATTGTTTAGTTTCCTCGTAGTCAATGATTTGACTGGTTCGAACAATACCTACAAATAATAATTGGATAATAGTTCTTGGTTTATATAGCAATTTTTATAATAAATAGATAGCTTCAAATTGTTTCACGGAAATACATATACATATATATATACACACATATATATAGAATAATAATAATAATGGTTTACCAGTTACATTATTAATATGGAAATAAGGACTGGGTGGTTCAATTGCATAACTGGCAATATTATTATCTACATCAGTTGCAGTAAAAGCCCCGACGATTGCTCCAATCGGCTGTTCTTCCTGCATTTCTATGGAATATCGTGGTTGTTGATGTGTCCATGGACTATTGAACTCCGGGGGGAAATGATTAACGTCTATTATTGTTACAATCAGATAGCCTGTATAAAAAAACCGTATAATTTATAAGAGAAAAGCTTATCAAGAAAAGAAATTAGATTAAATCAGCATAAATTTATCTATATACCTTTGCCTTGTTGGAAAGTCGAAGCAGAGGTATCGCTAACAAGTAGTGGAAGGCTAATTGTGGCAGCGACATTTCGATTGAGCTTTTGGATTACAGATACCTGGCCAGTTTTCTTGTCCACGGCAAAACAATATTTAAAGTTAGCGCTCGTCTTATTTGAGAGAGGTTGGCCATGACGGTTAATGGCAGTGATTGGTTCAGATATAGCGAAATTGAGCGCTTCGGGATTACCAATGTCAGGGTCAGAGGCTTGTAACAATGCGATCACTGTACCGATAGGAGTATCCTCCGTAACTTCAGCTCGTTGGACCTCAGGCTCAAAGAAAGGCGGTTTATCGTTGCTATTTTCTACACTGATCATAAGAGTCGTTGTTCCAGTAAGACTAGGTGAACCTATGAAACATAAAGTTGACGATTATATTGATGAAATAAAAGTCTCAAATTATTCATGATTCAAGTCCAGATTCTGATTCTATTTATTACTGAATTTAGCTAGATAAAATTGGTTTGATGATAATCTGAGGTTGATTCTGGTACAGATTCGGAAAGAGCGGAAAATTCTACCCAATTTTTTGTTTATGCATCATGTGTGCGGTCTATTTTGCCCTATTTATTCAAGGTAATAAATAAAGAAGATAAGTGATTAAAGTATTTTAGCTTTATTATTTATTTATCAAAATAACATTTATTACATTTATTTACCAAATTAGTCAATTGTTACAGTAAGTGTTCAAAAATATTTCCATCTCCTTAAATGCATAATTCGATTCTCCGATGAAAATTATCTACTGTCCTCAGTAGTACATCTTGCGGTATGCTCTGACATGCGATCCTGATCCTGTCCATCATGTCTTCTCGGGTCGTTGGTTGTTCTTGATAAACGACATTCTTGAAATATCCCCATAAGTAAAAGTCAAGATATATTAAATCGGAAGATCGTGGTGGCCATGCAACTGGTCCACTACGACCGATCTATCTACCGTTGAATCTGATGTCCAGGTAAGCTCTAACATTTCTATGGAAATGCGCAGGAGCTGCATCTAACTGCATCCACATTCTCAGTCTTGGTTGGAGGTCTACTTTTTCCAGTAGTCCATCTAGTTCATTTTGTAAAAATTGAGAAAAGTTTGCTCCATTGACATTTCCCTCAAAAAAAAAAGGTCCAATCACATGTCCATTGATAATGCCACACCACACGTTGATGCTCCAACGATGCTGATGATCTATTTGTCGATGCCAATGAGGATTTTCAGCTGACCAATAATGACAGTTGTGCCTGTTGAGCTCCCCATCATTTTTGAATGTAGCTTCGTCAGAGAACATGACATTATGGAAAAAAGCCCTGTCGTTTTGAATCATTTCTTTTGCCCAACGACAAAACTCCAGTCGCCTTTCCATGTCATCTGGTGTGATGGCTTAAGTGAGAGTGATATAATATAGTCGGAATTTTCGTTTTCTCAAAATTCTAAGGATAGTTCGTTTTGGTATTCCAGTTTCTCTTTGGATCTGTATACTACTAATATGAGGATTCCCATGAATAATTGCCAATATCACAAGCACGCGAACATCAATCTCATCGTAAGTATGATGTTTTCGCGTACGAACTAAATGTCCTTCTTGAACTTTTACATGAATCCTTCGAATAGTGTTATGATGAGGGTGTCTTCGGTACGGGAAATGTTCCTGATAAAGTCCTGTAGCTCTATGATAATTCCCTCCGGCTAGACCAAGAATGAAAATCATATCGACGCGTTCACGTGCAGAGTAATCCGGCATGGTCCAAAAAAAAGGCTTTTGATTTAATTTTTAATAAAAATTTGTAACTACAAAATTCTCTTCAATGAACACAAAATCGCTATTCAGTGAAATAAGCGAATAAACTAAGCTGTAGTATCGAAAAACAATTTTTGTTTTGTGGAAATGAAAAGATTCGATATGCCAAACCAGACAATGACAGGTACACGCATGTTAAAGTACATAAAGACACTTTACGGTAAATGTTACTTTTATTGGATAACATGGATGGTTAAGTTAGAAAAATGTACGACCTTGCGCCTACACATGATAAAAGGAGTGAATCAGCTCTTTCCAAATCCGGGGTCAAAAATAGGGGTTCCCATTTAAGAAAACAAAGTTGACCTTCAAATGATCTTGAACATGACCTCCAAGGTCAAAGGTAAGGTCATGGAAATGTGGCCCCGTCGAAGTTGAGCAACTTTTGTCTAAAATATTTTTCGCTTAACATTACCCTTACCCGGTCATTCGGGTGGAAAAATTAAGAAAAAAAATAAATTGACCTTTACATGACCTTGGGTGGTGAATCGGACCCCACATATGTTACATCATCTGTAATGGTGTAGGTTGGTCATGGCCTACACCGTGCGTCCCTTCTCACTCTCCGACATCGGCAAGGGCTTATGGCGGACATCTGGTGCACGAATGTTTCGTGCCTGATGCCAGTCTTTTGTTTCAGCATCGGTTTCTCTCTTCATCAAGAAAGGAAGAGAGAGCAGCAGCAGTATTAGTGTGTAAGAGCGCGGAACAACATGCGCTCTCGACAGTCGCTGAAAATGAAAGAGAGAGAAAGAGAGAGAGAGAAAGAGTGCAGCTATAGTGCGGCTAGGCGCGCGACACTGGCCACGCTTGGCGGTGCCGCGTACTGCCGATAAGGTAAGTGAGTGGGGAGGGCGTGAGAAGCAGTCTCTCACGCACTATTGCGTCGTTTCTCGCGATCATTAAGGAAGTAACCCCGCGAGCGAGAGCATACCAGCTAACGCAGCAGCACAGTATTCTCGAGAGCGGCCTTTGTCTACCAGTCACGTCATATCCCAGAAAGTCACCAGCCGGCAGAAATAAGATCAACGTGCCAGCCAAGTGGACTTCGCCAATTACGAGGTATGCTCGTACACAGGTCATACTCTCTCCTCTCGTTTCTCTTCCTTAAACGGTTTTACCCTTTTTGCGATAGCCTTTCCTCTTCTGTCTTGCTGGGAGCGATACACCGCCTCCTTTTTTTGTCTGAAAAATATTTCGCTATCTTTCATAGTTTCCAAGAAAACCTACTGGTCCACTTAAAATGGCCCACCCTGTATATATATATATATATATATATACATTGCAACGAAGTGGAATAGCTGGAACAAAATGGGTTTATTAAAGAACAAACTCCCACTATGCAGAGCTAATCGCCGCTCCGTTAAACACGTATGAGTATACGTGTATTCGCCTTTACGTTTGATACTTTCGTTCAAATGTCTTCTTTCCAACAGAGTTGAACTCATCTTAAGTCACATGACTTGTGACACTCGATCTATCTTAGGTATGATTGACCTAATGTTTATTCCAACTATCCCCTTGATGAAATCGGTTTAAAATTTAACCGGTGACGGAGCCGTTATACAAAAAGGGAAAGAATTAACGTAATGCGACAAATAAAATTGATATCGTTTATAACTAAAAAACTACAGTCTTCAATGGGCCGAAAGACTTACGCATGCGAATAGGATTTACAATATTCAATGATACAGGGAGAGAGAGAGGATTCAAAATTCGACCGCGAAAACTAACGCTCGGCGCGAATACAAAAAATTACTGTCGCGATAGACAAAATACTCTCGCTAGTATTTTGTTGCGCAGAAAAAGGGAGGTGCACCTACCCTGTGGTGCAATGACGGTCATCAGCCGTAATTGTTGAAGAGAAATAACTAGTGCTCCTCTGGAACCAGCTGCGCTGCCTCGCTCATAAATCTGCTGTTTGTGCACTTAATGCTGCTGCTCGCTTGCTGCTGCTGTAAATTCTGCTGCTGTGTTTGTTGCTTGCAACACCTCGCGCACGATCAAAAAACCCACAAAACTTTTGATATCAAAAGGTAAAACACAGTGGAAATCTATTTGGCGGTACTCTCACAAGCAACAGCTGAGGCTTAACTGAAACTTTGAACTCTCGCGAGCCCCCTCTCTCTTTTAGACAATCGTTCTAGCATCGCGAATGCTACCGAATCACGAACGTATCGATTGATCGAATCGACTACCGTTGGAATATATATATACATATATAGGTTGTCCCAGACCACCCGTTCACCCCTTCTAGTTTTACAACAGCGCATTTTTAGGAAATGTGAAACATACAAAATTTCAGTAAATCGGTCAAGGATTTCAGCGGTGACCTTCAATTTGACCTAGGAAATGATATTCAAGGGCATCTCAAGGTCAACTTGGTTTTATTAAATAAGAACCCCTACTTTGATTTTGAATTCTTAAAGAGCACGAAATTTTGAAACAAAAGTGTTTTTATAATTTTTTTTATTAGAAGCACAGTTTCTGAGAAAAAAATTCATTACCATTTGCAATTTAACATGTGAAGCCATTCAGGTAATTGCAAGCCATAGGTTTCACGAGTTAAATTACAAATGTTAATGAACTTTTTTTCGGAAACTATGAAACTTGTATATCTATTCGAATGATGTGGCTTGAAGTCAATACCTTAATGAAGAAAAAAATATTCCTTAATTTAACTTTGCATTACTTTTAATTAGTTGGTTAAATGGTTATTAGTCACGGAGTGAATAATGAATTGACGGAGAGAAATTAACGGAGTGAATTTCAATTGTGGAGTATCTGAAACGTCATTGACCCATTTTGATATTATACCCATTTATGTTTATTTATATTATTTATCAACTCTTGTTTCTTAATGAGAAGTCGTCACTTACGCTACTTATATTCTGATCCGCACAAGTATATTAGTATTTGTACTGGTTCTTAATTCCAGTCATGGTTTATTCCAACGAAGAAGCTGTTCAGATGATTCAAATACTGGGAGAGTGTGGGAATGTTTTTTCTGCAGCTGAGCAATTGTGGTAACAGCGATTCCCAGAAGCCTGATTTATATCGATTCTTCTAAAAAGATTTTGAAGGTTGTTCTCCTTCACAATCCTAGTTGCTCATACAGCACAACTAAAAGAATCCTATGAGAACATGCAGAGTCTTTAAAATAACCAGATATGAAAAATATAAATGTTTTATATATGATGATTTCAAGATCATAATTATACTTAATGGACAATAATTAGGGAATACAAAATTTTCTTGAAAAAACAAAGTTTACCTTGAAAATACCTTCAAAATCAAGTTCAAGGTCAAGTTTGAGGTTATCATAAGTTGACCCCCTCCAAACCATACAACTTTCGTTTGAAACATTTTTCGATTACCTTGCCAAGTTTCGAGATATCCTACTAGGTAAGTTAAAATGGGACACCCTGTATATACGTATATACAGGGTGTCCAAAAAGTTTCAGGACACCCCAGTAAGTCCTGAGAATAACTATTTCCGAGGAGATTAAGGTCATTCCTGTAGTAACTTTGAACGAGGAATCCAATGGTGACCTTGGTTT